AATCCGTACGTAGTTTATCATCCCATGTGCTTTTGGCTAAGACGTCAAAGAACAATTGTATGAAATATTTCATCGCCGAAAATCTGTAATTACAAGTCGTTTACATTTTTCAAATGGCCAAAGGCGCAGGAATATTTTTCATGTACATTTAATCTCTATGATAAAGGAAATAAAGTTATATGTAGATGTCTAAGTTGGCAGTAATTTTAACTTATACAAAACGTAAGGTAAGTATTCTGGTGTTTTAAAGTAAGTTTTGCTAATAATGATGTTCTTTTCGTTTAAGAAGATTGTGATTATTTTATTTATTTCAATTAAATGTATGCACATTTAAATTACTTTCTTTTATAATATTATATGATTATACCGTTTATCACTGACCTTGGCAGTTGTTGTTTTTATGAATGTTGTTTTATATAAATGAAAAAGATCCGAAAATCGTCGTTGATGGGATGTTTTAAGAAATGTGGACAACTCGTCCTCGAGACAAGTCGGACTGAGTCCACTGACTGCTTGTCAGATTTACTTGGGTTTCATAAAATGTTAGACTAACATGTCTAGCAGAGTTATCAATCTTTCGTTTGTGCATTGGGGTGTATTTAGGGGTATTTTTAGGGCCTAAATAAGGGAGGGGTTTACAATTTTTTTCAATTTTCAAATCTATATATTTAAATGAGAAGTCCTCATTTTGTGTGTCGCTTCTCTTCCTTCCATAATAAATTAATCGTCATGCCTCTGTGTCTTGTAGGTACCATGCATAGTCGCATTTGTCATCCTCGCTTATGATTATTCAGTTTGATATATTTTGGGAGGAAAACGAAAATAAAGGCGTACGTATATTGTTTCGTCATCGGACAGACTTTTAAGTCATAGACAAGACTTCCGTTTAGGACTGTTTATAAAATATTACACATAAATACTTGGGGACAGGACAAATATTTTCACGTTTTTCTGTATACCATGATCATACATATTCTATAAATAAAGTGTATTTGCTATATACTATCAATTCAAAGTTTACTTTCTGCGGCTGTCACTGATATATTATATAGAGAGTCTCTATATAAATGACTATACCGCCTAGGATAGGTTTACAATTAGGAATTGATAGTAAATAGCAAATACACTTTATTTATAGTATATGTATGTTCATAGTATACAGAAAAACTGTGAGAAACCAAAAAATAACGGACTTTGGAAAAAAGGGGTAGGGCTAAACAAAATTGTCCTTTCACCAAGTACCTATAGCTTTTGATACCTCTCCTGAAATTCTCCAGTCATAAAATCTTTTACAAAAATTCATTCCACAACAGTTTACATACTTTCAACCACACACTAAATGCCCGCGATTTCGCGGGTGTGTTCTAGTGACATTTACTTGAAAACAGTAAGTGATAGACACACACAATCTTCAGTAATGATAACAGTACAATAGAACAAATAAAATAAAATAAAATATAGGATGAGTCCCTGGGGGTCATCCCACCCCCTTCAATTTGAAAATGTGTTTTTATCTTGTAAACGGTTATGATCCCCACCCCTAAACCATATATATACTTGTATGGGACAATAAAACAAATCAAATGAAAATAGCGATGTTCGGGATTTCCGGATGTGACGTCACGGAAAATTTTTGGATGGCAAAAGAAAAATGGATGACAAAATTGCAAGTGATAACGATGGAAAGTCCAAATTTTCGACTTATTACCATTCCCTTCCAAATGACGCTAAGAATAGATATTCAACAAAGTTATTTTATGATGCCGGTACCAAAAGTTTACCTGATCCATATGTTTTGACTGAGAAATGGAGCACTGACCCGAACACATGGCCAGATCTCACATTTGGGGACATCTACCTGTATCTGATAGATACTCCATCAATCTTTACGAAAGAGTCCATGAAGGCATATAAATCATTAGAGGCATACAAGTAAGTACATAAACATTAATTATTGCCGTATTTCAACCTTCAGTTTGCTTTTATTATCGCGGAAAAGTCTGAATTCCCCCACCTGTACTGCAATACACATTATTTACAGGTGACGCGTTGTTTACACCACGTGGTATCCTTATATGGACATGCCCAACTATCAATGGAAATTTACCTGAGTTATAGTACTGTAATCAGTGTTGTAGTATATATTAAATAAAACCTTAAGAGTGATTACTTCACACTTGTAATATAAAGTAACAAAAACTGAAAGCAAAAGAAAAATTAAATTTTGATAGAAATATTATTAAAAAAAAAAAACATTATGAGAGTAATACACATTTTTATGGACCTGTATGCCAAGAATGTATATTATTATTTTTAAATGAAAAATAATTTGACATGAATTCAATATCTAAAGACATTTGCTTTGACCATTCCTACCAGTACCGTGTTTCTATAAATCTTAAGTTTAAATGAAGAGTCTTTCACATGTATCATTAATTGACAGTAAAATATATTTGATTTGTATCATGTTCATTGTATGAGGTGATTTTTTTTTTTTTTTTTTTTAAATTAAATTATTTTATGTTTTAATCATTGCAGATATGTTGTAAGTGGTCATGTCCGTGTTGTATTGTCACATCAGATTTCGAATGACTGTCCATATGTTGCACTGTCGTCTAAAGTCACACCCTCACAAAGGGCCAGAGACAAGCCACATGAGCCTTGGGTTTATTTAGAGAAGAAGACAGGAACTGTCTATTGTGCCCATTGTACCTGCATGGCAGGGTAGGTGTCAATGTATTGCATACTTAATGTATATAAAGTTTCTGTAGTAAATATTAATCTTTAAAGAAAAATTCCAGTTTTTGTCGTAAAGAATATTTACATATGTGTCAGTATTTAATGTCAAACTTGCAATTTCAAGCACGTCAAGGAACACAGTAAAACAATTTTTGAACAATTTATTTTAAGAGAATATATGTATATCTTGTAAGTCATTGTCAATGTACATATAAAAAAGAAGATGAGGTATGATTGCCAATGAGACAACTCTCCACAAGAGACTAAATGATGTCTTTTTTTTCCTGATGATTATATTGTGCTATTTCATGCTTCTTGTCATCAATAAATATAGATCTCTGATTCCCTGATGTAATGAAGTGCAAATAATTTGTAGTCTTTTATCATTGTTGTTAAAACTTTGTTTTCCATTGTAGGTTGGGTGAAGTATGCAGCCATGTCGGAGCACTTTTATTTAAGGTGGAAATGGGTGTAAAAATTGGTATGACAAAGACATCATCTACCAGTACAGCTTGTCAGTGGAATAGCAAATTTCGGAAAGAGGTATTACATTTATTGCAACTTTGTTTTTATTGTTCAAATTTTTTTTGCATTTCATATAACCTCAAATTGAAAAGTACAGTCTTTAAACTTATACTCTCAACCATAATTAGGAAATGCCAAAATATTCATAAAAAATATTGTAAGATTACATGGTTATAATTTTGTATGCCAGACACAAAGTTTCCTCTTAAATGGACCTGCTGTGATGCTTGAATTAAAAATATGTAAAATATATGGCGTTGAATTGAAGACCTCAGCACTCATGCTTTCAAGGTTATGCATTACTTGTAGTTTTAAAATAACCAACTGATTTTGTAATTGGTGGAATATAATATCATGAATATGATAAAAATAATTTGTTCGATTGCTCTTTTGTTTTTTTAACATAAATTATTTGAATTTGCTCTATTTAGATTGTCAGTTATTTAATTTCCATTCAGTAATGAAAAAAATTCTAATAAGTTATGTTTTTGTAGGTCACTCCAGCAACAGTGACAGAAATTTATGACCAAATAAAAGGCAGACGCAAGAAAGATGTCCCTAATGTTCATGCTCATGGCTCATCACCTTTACCATCAACATCAGACCTTCAACTTCTTTATGCCATTGCACCAAAGTCAGTCTTTTTTACCTCCGTTACTATACCAGGTATAGAAATGCTACCTCCAGTAAAGAAACCACAACCCACAGACAAATTTCCAAAACTATTAACTAGCCTTCATCAGCCTGATACTGCTCCAAATTCAGAATACATTAATGACACTTATCATAAATACACCGTCACAGATTCTCAGGCCTATCACCTTGAAGAAGCAACACGCAATCAGGCAGTGAGCCCGTTATGGTTCGAACATAGGAAAGGGCGCGTAACTGCCTCTAAAGCACATGATGTACTTCGCATGAGAGAACAAACATCACCAGATAATTTAGTGAGACGAGTTTGTGGCTACAACAGCTATGACCTATCTAGAAAAGATGCAGTCCGTTGGGGTATTGAACACGAAGATGAAGCCCGTATAGCCTATATCAGTCACCAGAAAACCACACATATAAACTTTGAATGTAAACTTGCAGGATTCTTTGTTAACTCCAAGCATCCATTTGTTGGAGCAAGTCCAGACGGAATAACTACTTGTGATTGCTGTGGTAAAGGTACCCTTGAAGTCAAGTGCCCGTTTAAGCATAAAGACACACCTATTGACAAAGTTCCTGCCAAAGACTCTAACTTTTGTTTGGACAATATGCTGCAACTGAAACAGAACCACCGTTACTACACCCAAGTACAACTTCAAATGTACCTTACAGAAAGCAGTTATAGTGACTTTGTTGTGTATACCAAATGTGATCCACCAAGTATGGTTATTGTTAGGTTGAACTTGGACTTAGACTTCTGTAAAACTCTGCTAAGTAAATGTGACTCCTTTGTCAAAGACCATGTTATACATGAACTAATTACACAGAAGTTAAACAATATGCCAGTTACACAACAGTCAACATGCACCACTGAAACTATGAACAATAATGACCAGCCGTCTACATGGTGTCTTTGCGCAGAACCAGAATATGGCCGAATGATTAAATGTGACAACCGAGAATGCCCATACCAATGGTTCCATTATAAATGTGTCAACGTTAGAAGAAAGCCAAGGGGTAAATGGTACTGTATTAGTTGTGAACCATAATCAAAAGACTTTGAAACAGCAGATGTCAAAAAGGCATTCAATCAACTTTTTAATAATAGACATTAGTTGTTGTAATTATATCATTTATTTTTCATGGGAAAAATAAAAGTACATATATACATGATATAGATAACAGTACAAATAACATGCTTATGTTTTATATTGTGACAAATGAGCACTATCTAACAAGTAAATAATGTTTGTTATATATATAACATTATAATATGGTAAATAAGTTTTCATCTGAGAAAAAAAAACCAGTAACATCAGACATTGGAAAAGCTACTATTTAGGTTTAAGCATAAGTTATGTTACTACTACATCATACATGTACATGTATTACTTTTTGTGATAAATTTTGACAAGAGCTACTATTTCAGAAAAGGCTATTGTTTAAGATAAATATGATAAAAGCTACTATTATTGATTAAGTTATATTACACAAATTTCAGCCTGAAAAAACAGGATCTTATAACACTTTACTTTGTTCTGAACATGATGAACTAATTTGATCTAGAAAAATTACAACTCAAATTGTTAAAGTTTTCTATTGCACATGTACATATGTTTATACATTATCATATATTATATTTAATTTGATTCAATGAATATTCTTATATATAGATGTTATGATGACTATGATATGATTTTGTACAAAAATAAATGAACACTATACAATATCTTCAAATTTCTTTTTGAATACACATTTATACAAATTAGGAAACAAGAGCTGGTTGTAAATTACAAATACAAGAACAAATAGTCACAATACTGTCTGAATGTGGTACAAGATGAAGGTTCATGTTGGTACTAAGAATGTTAAAGTTTTTTACTCTTTCTATGGCACGTTCAACATGTATGCGTACATGAGCAATCTGTCTTGTGAGTTCAATCTCTTTTGCACTTAGTTGAGATTTTCCCCGAGTAAATGCTGGGATGATCAAGGTAGCTCCATGACTAGCTAATTCTTCAGAAATAAGAAATCCACGGTCAGCTAAAACTTGGTCATTATGTTCTAATTTGTCTAGATACCCACTGCGTTGAGTAATTACCTTATCTGATGTCCTTCCACCGAATGCACGTGAAACATAGGATATGGCACCAGTTGGTGTGATCGAAACAAGAAACTTAATGGTGTTATGGTGTTTGTAGTTGGACCATGTTTGAGCTCTTGCTGTAAGGTGACCTGGTCGATTTATAAAAACCTCAAAACAATCTATGATGCTTACACATTGAGGATAAGTCTTTTTGAAAATTACTGGCATGTTTTTGATTAGACTGTCTTTGTCTGGCCACTGTACTAAAAAATTCAACTTCTTGGCTAAGGCAGGTAATCCTTGATTGAGAATGTCTGACACAGTTGTCTTTGAAATATTCAGGCGGAAAGCAATGTCTTCTAAATGTAGATTTAGTCTCAGCTTAATGAGTAGGCACAGTAACACACCTTTTGGAGAGACGACACGAGACGAAGGAAGCACAGTTGAACAAAAACTCAAAACCCACATAAATAAAGCTTTAGAAGGAATACCCGTATAAAATGTTGTCTTGCTGTCCGTAGCCACTGCACTATCTTCAAATTTTAGGTTGAGCAGTTCTGTTTTCAGATGTGTGTTGTCACATTGCAACCTATTTAGCTCTGTATAAAGTTGTTGATTTTCTAAACGCAGGCTAGCAATGGTCTTAATACAGCTATCATGGACTGAAGGTTTTTCTGAAAAAAGAAGATACACATTTTTAATATCTCAAACAAAGGCAATGACAGTCATTAATAATATTTCATACTAACATATAAAATAAATCTGATAACAGGGGAAAAATTGGCAAAATATGGTTATATTGAAATTTGTGTTACCATTAACTGATGAATTAATTGATTTCATACATTATGTGATTAACAAGTAATTTGTATACACATTTTCTTTGATGGTTTACTGTTTTAATCATCATTAACAAAAAATAATTTTACAATTAATGAATTACTATAATTAACATGATCAAAGGTAACTAGGTTAATTAGGAGTATTAAATAGTATAAAAGATCAAAGTAAAATATATATAAGTATATTAAGATTAATTTTTATGAAAACAAAATGATGCAATAAAAAAATTCACACAAATTATTAATATATCATATAATTGATATGTTTATAAATATGAAATAATAAGTGTACCTGGTGTTGGCGGAACATTCAGTGACATCTCTTGAAGTGCTACTGCTGCTGTCTTCCTTTCATCATCTCTTTTTTGGTACCTCTCATATCTTGCAAATCTCTGTGGACCATCTGTCTGCATGTCTATGGTACCCATATGAATAGATGGGACATAATCTGGGTTCTCTTGGTCATTACTTTTTTGGCCTGAAAAATATATAACATTTATAAAATCTAGCTTATACCAACATTCAACAAAATTTTGTCTTGGGTGTAGAGATTTCTCATTGGCAATCATATCACATTTTATTTTTTACACTAGTAAAGTGAGTGAGATTTAGGCCAGAAATGTACATGTAAAAAAGTTTTGAATATATTTAATATAGATTTTATTAAACAAAATTGTGTCCAGATTTCCTGTATTGACTTTTCTGTTGTAAACAACAAAAAATATTGCATTAGCCAATATGTATTCATGTACGAAATCATTGACATTTTGCAAAAAAAAAAGTGTAATGCCAGAGTTCCATGACATGTGAGATGTCACTTATCTTGTCTTGTGGTGTAGAAATCGAGGTTTAAACAGGTTATACAATGGAAATTATTTCAACATAATGAATATTTAAATGTTAAAGATCATAACAAAATATTAAGATTTAAATTTTAAACTTACCAGTGATGAAATGACGAGAACATACACGGTCGTAATCTGAGGGTTCCCATACAGTTCCATTCTCCCCCTCTCGTTTAATTGCTTCTATCCACAATTTTCTTTTTTCCAAAGGTTTTTTAGGCACACGATAGAAACTAAATTGTCCAAATCTACTTGTACAATTAATAACACAACACGACAGAACCATCGTAATGAACAGTTGATCATTAATTAACTCTCGTAATGAGCCTCAACATGTAAACAATATGTTGCCATCCAATTAGTCACGTGACTTTTTGGTGACGTCACGGCGAACATCGCTATAATTTGAGGTTCCAGGTGTCACCCCTATCCCTTCTGTTTAAGAACTTGTAAATGGTCGAGAATCCCCACCCCTAAACCATATATGTTCATGTATGGGACAATATAACAAATCAAATGAAATATAGTGGGAGTCCCTGGGGGTCAACCCCACCCCTTTCTGTTAAGAACTTGTTAACAGTTGAGATCCACGCCCCTAAACCATACATAGTCTTGCATGGCACAATAAAACAAATAAAATGAAATACAGGGGGAGTCCACAGGGGGTCAACTCCACCCCCTCCTGATTGAGAACTTGTTAATGGTCTAGATCCCCACCCCTAAACCATACATATTCTTGTATGGTACAATAAAACAAATAAAATGAAATATAGGGGGAGTCCACAGGTTTAACCCTTCCCACTCCGGTTTGAGAACTTGTTAACGGTCGAAATCCCCACCCCTACACCATATATATTCTTGTATGGGACAATAAAACTAATAAAATAAAATATAGGGGATTAGTCAATGGGGGTCACCCCACTCCTCTTTTTGAAAATTTGCAAACGGTCGAGATCCCCACCCCGAAACCATATATATTTTTGTATTGGGCATTAAAACAAATCAAATGAAATAAAGGGAGAGTCCCATGGGGATCAACCCTCACCTTTTGAGAACTTGAAAACGGTCGAGATCCCCACCCCTAAACCATATATATTCCTGTTCGTTAACTCAAGAATGTTTAAATGACATACAGGGTCAATCTCCTAGGCGTCACATATGCATATCACTTTACTTGACCAAACCAATTTGTACTGGACTCGGCCCAATGTCAGGCGACCATGGGAATGACCAATTATAGGAGCTTTGTTTGGGAGACTTCGTAACAGTATCCTGTTTCAATTAACTCTTGTTTATTATAGCCCCCAAGGGTGACTGGGGAATAGAAGTATGGTCACCATTGGTCTTCCTTCGACTGGCAGTAAAACCCTTGCTAAAGTGGGGCGTCCGTTTGGCTGTGCGGGATGTACAAATTTGCAGCCATGTCCAGTCAGAATGGGGTAGTTAAATCCGATGCCTCGTGTGAAGGGAGTGCTACGCTCTTTGCACGTTCAGAACCCTTGCAACAACGCTTTGAGGGGTCCGTAGGTGACCTAGCCTGTTGCAAGGCTAAATTTCTGTCCCTATCCAATATACCCTCATTTCCCGTGGTAGTCTAAATTTCTCCGACCTTAATCCTGGACGCCCCTATTACAGAACCTACCTATTGTATTTATTGTTAATTTGTTCTCGTCCTGAAAATGCATGAAATATTTGCCACTGGACGTTAAGCAACCAACAATCAATCAATCAATGTTTATTATAGAATTTAATTGATGCAAAAAATAAGTCTAGATAAATTTACTTTATTTATTTTTTGAGTTATTTCTGGGCCTATAAAATTTTCATTTAAGGCTCATTTTAAAGGAAACATATTAAAGATAAATTAAAAATAACTTGAAAATGGTTGGATTGGATAGGGAAAACATTAAGGTACAAACATTTTTTTAACTTGAAATAGCTGAGATAAATAATTAATCCAATTATTCCACAATATTCATCTTAACTTAAGCTTCTGCCACATTTGCCTTGGGGTTTTTTAATTAACTGCCTATAGCCCCCTTGGTGCTTTGATTACAAGTCGTTCCTTATCAGTCTATTCTAAAACCAGTTGTTGGCATGATACGTGTTATGTTCTCGTATATTTTATGATAGTATGATACTTAACCACTAATGGGAGAGATTTTGCTAGATATTCATATGACGAAGACATAATCTTTCAATCAGTTAAATTGAGGGCTGGAGCTTGCATGTCAGTAACTGCTAGTAGTCCTTTGTTAATTTATGTATCATTGTCATTTTGTTTAGTTTCTTTTGTTACCTATTCTGACAACAGACTTATAAATGGACTTAGTTTTTCTTCCAGTTAACATTACATACAGTCTGCAGTTTAAGTTTTTAAAACATTTATTAGATTCATAAACTATCCTGGATTTTTACCCAACTTGGACAGAAGCTACTTACAATCAAAAGATAATATAGAGAGGAATATTTTTATTAATTTTTTTCCTCATTTTTTAAGAGCCTGCGGTTAACAGCTCAAGTAGGCAAGACGCTGGGTTCTGCGGAACCCTTACAAATTTTAATTTATGTATCATTGTCATTTTGTTTAGTTTCTTTTGTTACCTATTGTGACAACAGACTCTGACATCTTTTAAACTGAGTTTTCCTGTGTGTTTTGCTGTGCGTCTGTTTTTTCTTCATTGGCTAGAGGTATAGGGGAGGGTTGAGATCTCACAAAACATGTTTAACCCTGCCGCATTTTTGCACCTGTCCCATGTCAAGAGCCTCTGACCTTTGTTAGTCTTGTATGATTTTTATTTTTTGTTCATTTATATATTTTGGAGTTTAGTATGATGTCCATTATCTCTGAACTAGTACACATTTTTGTTTAGGGGCCAGCTGAAGCATGCCTCTGGGTGCAGGATTTTCTAGCTGTGTTGAAGATTCATTGATGGCCTTTGGCTGTTTTATGCTCTTTGGTCAGGTTGTTATCTCTTTGACACATTCCCCATATCCATTCTTAATTTTATTGTTGAAGAGTATAGACCATTGTAAAACTGTCTCTTTTTAAACTTACAATGTATAACTATGATAACAATTCAAGGCAAAGTTCAACAATTTGATAGCTGTGTACTTCATGGTACAATTACACTGAGTAAATAGTCATTAAAAAGGACATGGAGAATCAAGTTTTTTTTTTTAAATAATCAGAAGCATGTTTAAATTCTTAACCTTCATGACAATTGACAATTGTTTATGTATTACTATTAGGTAACCAAACTATAATTGAATAATTAATTCAAAATGATTGATTTTATATTTATCAGGAGATTTCAAGTTTGGAGAATGTGCAGTAACCAGCTGCTGAACTAAACAAGGAACTAGGATCATAACTGATAAGTGGAGATGTAATGGATGATGACACATTTAAGCGGCATTAAAAGACCCGGAGAGTATGTTTAAAATGTATAATTGTCACTTTGAATCTGAAATAAGAATATGTAGGGTGTTTTTAATTCAAGGCAAAGTTTATCATTATGATCGCTGTGTACTTGATGGTACAATTTACAAGGATGATCACAGGTGCTTCACATTCAACACCTGTCATGCTACTGCTATAAAATGCATTGATAAATATCAAATGCTATAGTATTACAAAAATGTGCATTGGTAATTGCTTCTTAACCTACCCTAAGACATCACCAAATTGATAAACCATTGGTAAGGTAAATGTTCTAATCTTGAAACTTGATCGACTGTGAAAATTTGATAAAGAAACTTGTTTGTCTTGACAAAGGATAGACAACACTGTTACTGGTTTAAACAACAGAGATATTGAAATTTAAAAATTACATAGTACAAAACTAAAAACTGAAGCAAGGGCAACACACTCCCCTTTAAAACAAAACTAATGGTAAACTCAGTTGCTTTAGCATGTCATGCCCCACATGTTGAAACCATTTTCTTGCTCCTTTAAGTACAAATTCAGGAATAATTCTAATTGTTAAGTCACATTAAATGGTCTTAACAACACTATTGCTAAAAAGAATAGGACCAACAGACAAAAAACAGTACACAAAACACAACATAGAAAACTACAGACTAAGCAACACAAACCCCATTAAAAACAGGGGGTGAACTCAGGTGCTCTGGGAAAGTATTCAGATCCTTCTCTACATGTGGCACCCATCATGTTGATCATGTTAGCACAAAGATTGTGATAATCTAATTTGGTAGTGTACTTTTTGGAAAAAATGTACAGGAGTGTAGTTTATACTACATTTGAAAACTTATCCTTTGTCATCTGTGAAAAGGATATTTCATAACAGTTTACCAACTCATGATGGCTTCCATAAAATTTATGGGAAATGTTCAACTTCACCACTTGGAAATCTTGGTTTGATAGCTTTCTTGTGAGAATCAACTCTCTATAAAGAAAATCATGATAGAAAACACAAAAGTTTGAAAGCTTTAGGTGAAGAAATTATGTTATTTTGTGTTTGAAAGAATTAACTCTTTATCTACCACTGACGGATATATACGCAGTATTTATCACCGTTTAGTTCGTAGTGACTGATAAATCTGCTTGCCAAATCATCTGTGTATTCGCAGTGACTGATCTATCCTCTGTAAACAACGGCATGCGCAGTCGCGGTGACGGATATTCCCGTAAAATATACCACTGTTAAAACCCTTTAGATTGGACAATACCGAAATGAACCAATCAAATTCGGTTTTACAAATGAATAAACTTTCTCCTCCTATATTCCTTTTCATTAAAAGGTAATATGTTTACATTAAAATACATTGTTTTTTACACATGTTTTTGTTTGCGGAATGAGTTTGAAGGGTTTACGCAGTCTGATATTGACGAAAGTGAAGTTGGAAGTGTTGGCAGTGATATCAGTTTATCGGAAATAGAAAGCAAGTCATCTGAGGACGAGGAACCGGAGTTAGATAATGACATTTGGACAAATAATTTGTATAAACCCCCAGTCACTGAGTTTTCACAACCGTTTGGGGCAGCTTTTAATCTCGAAAAGGAAAAGAAAGCAATAGATTTCTTTCACAAATTCTTTCCTTTTGCACTTGTTGAAAAATTAGCGGAAGAAACAAATTCATATGCACGTAAAAGCATATTAACAAAACCTGACAAAGTGTGGGTTGAAACAACTGCAGTTGAGATGAAAAGCTCCACCAGTGACTGGAAACTGTGGACTGGCACACTGGCCCTTTCAGTTTGAAAAACCAGGCAGATGCAAACAATATCTCAAGCAAAATAGAAGACATGAAGTTTCAATTGGCTGCAAACAG